GTAGCTCAGCCTGTAGTCCCAGCCCTTTTGGGAGGCCGAGGCGAGTGGATTGCCTGAGCCTGCGGGTTCAAGACCAGCCCAGGCAACTTGGTGAGACATCATCTCTACAGTAAATCAAAAATTAGCCGGGCGTGGTGGTGCATGCCTGTGGTTCCAGCTACTGGGATGGCTGAGGCAGAAGGATCGCCTGAGCCCAGCAGGTCGAGGCTGCAGTGGCCGTGAGTGTGCTACTGCACTCCAGCCTGGGCGACGGAGTGAGACTGACTCAAAAGACAACATTCTCACTCATAAGTGGACCTTGAACAATTATCATAATACTATAAGAAACGGACTGGCAGTAGTGGGAAACTATCAGGGGAGGGGGGTGGAATTGGCAGTTGAGGGAAGCTGCCAGGGGAGGGAGGGGCACACCTCATCAACAAGGGTACCTGCATAATGGACATTTGTATATCTAACCCTGAACTGTACCTCATGTCTTTAAAATAAAAATTTTTAAAAGCTTTACCAAACTTTTATAGTACAGAAAACAACAACAAAAGATCTTGTACATATATCGGCGGGCCATGTCCCACCAGCAGAAATGAAACAGCCTGAACTGATAAGTTGTCTCAGGCTGAATTCATTGTCTGTATTGCTGTATTGTCTTTTTCTTGATTTGTTTTTTGTTTTTTAATGTGAAATTTTGCTATTGTTTTATATTTTCAGTAAATTGAATTTGTTTTCTTAGTTTTTTTTGAGTTGGAGTCTCACTCTGTCACTCAGACTGGAGTGCAGTGGCCGCTCCCGGCCACCGCAGCCTCGACCTGCTGGGCTCCGGCGATCCTTCCACCTCAGCTCTCCAAGTAGCCGAAGCTACAGGTGTACGCTAATACATCTGGCTAATTATTGATTTATTGTAGAGATGAGGGCTCGCCAAATTGCCTGGGCGGGTCTCAAACCTGCGGACTCAGGCAATCCACTCACCTCGGCCTCCCAAAGCGCTGGGATTACAAGCTGAGCCACTGAGCCCGGCTTTCTTAGGTTATTTAAGGGACACTTGTTGTGGGACTTTTGTGCAAGATGTGATCCATTTGATCCTGCTTCTCAAAGTTTTAATAACTGAGAGCTGTCACTTTGGAAAACTTCATACTTCATGTTTTTCTTGTACCTGAATAGTATAGAATAATATTATTTGTTATAGTATAAGTTATTTCTGTAGAATATTCCAAAAATTCATGAAATGAAATGTTAAAGGTAGCACTAGATTATTTCTGAGATTTTGCTGTGTTTCTGATTTAAGAGTATAATTTTTTGGGCAGGTGCAGTGGCTCACACCTGTACCAGCACTTTGAGAGGCCAAGTCAGGAGGATTACTTGAGCCCAGGAGACTAGCTTTGGCAACACAGGAAGACCTTGTTCTTTTTTTTGAGTTGGTCTCACTCGGTCGCCCAGACTGGAGTGCAGTGGCTACTCCCGGCCACCGCAGCCTCGACCTGCTGGGCTCCGGCGATCCTTCCGCCTCAGCCTTCCGAGTAGCCAGAATTACAGGCATGCGATACCACGCCCGGCTGATTTTTTGATTTACTGTAGAGATGAGGTCTCACTGCCCAGGCGGGTCTCGAACCTGCAGGCTCAGGCAATCCACTCACTTCAGCCTCCCAAAGGTGCGGGATTACAGGTTGAGCCACCGAGCCCAGCTGAAAAAAAGTATACTTAAAAAATTTTGTGTGCGTGTTGGAGTCTCACTCTGTCACCCAGGCTAGAGGGCAGTGGCATATTTCCGGCCACAGCAGCCTCAACCTGCTGTGCTCAGGTGATCCTTCCGCTTCAGCCTTCCAAGAGGCTGGAAATACAGGCACACGCCACCATGCCTGGCTAATTTTTTGATTTATTGTAGAGTTGAGGTCTTGCCAAGTTGCCCAGGCTGGTCTCGAACCTGTGGGCTCAAGCAGTCTTCTCCCCTCGGCCTCTCCAAAGTGCTGGGCTTATTGGCGTGAGCCACCGTGCCCATTCTTTTTTTCTTTCGAGTCAGAGTCTCACTTTGTGGCCCAGGCTGGAGTGCAGTGGCACACTCACAGCCACCCCAGCCTCGACCTGCTGGGTTCATACAATCCTTTCTCCTCAGCCTTCCATGTAACTGGAACTACAGAGGCATGCCACCATGCCTGGATGATTTTTGTGATTTACAGTAGAGACAAAGTCTCAACAAGTTGCCCAGGGTGGTCTGAAACCCCCTGGGCTCGGGCAATTCTCTCACCTCCCTTGGCCTCCCAAAGTGCTCGGATTACAGGCTGAGCCACCATGCCTGGGCGGTTATTTACATTTAAACTTTAAGTTAGCCAGGCTTGGTGGCTCAGCCTGTAATCCTGCGCCTTTGGGAGGCTGAGGTGAGAGGATTGCCTGAGCCCACGGGTTCGAGACCCGCCTGGGCAGCGAGACCTCATCTCTACAATAAATCAAATAATCAGCCGGGCGTGGTAGCGCATGCCTGTAATTCCGGCTACTGGGAAGGCTGAGGCGGAAGGATCGCCGGAGCCCAGCAGGCGAGGCTGCGGTTGCCAGGAGCGGCCACCGCACTCTAGTCTGGGCGACCGAGTGAGACTCCAACTTGGAAAAAAAAAAACAAGACTTTAAGTTAACTAGGATTAAACCAGTCGTGGTGGTGTGTGCCTATAGTTCTAGCTACTCAGGGGGCTGAGGTGGGAGGATTGTTTGAGTCCAGGAGTTCAAGGCTGCAGTGAGCTATGATCATATCACTACACTCCAACCTGGGTAGCAGAGTCTAGCTCTGTCTCATAAATACATACATAAACAAATAAGTAAGTAAATAAATAAATGTTAATCAGTTAATTAACTAGTGTTAAATAAAAGTAAAAACCAATTGTGTGAGCCACATTTCAAGTGTTGCGCTGACAGTCATAGGTGGCTGTGGTTGTCATGTTGGACAGCACAGATACTGAATGTTTGTTTCTGTGACAGAGAGGTGTACTGGATAGAAGTGCTGACTTTGACTTTTATTATAATTTCATCCATAAGTCTCCAAGCAGAGAATATCACACTTATCTCTGTTTAGGTGTAATCCCTGTTTGTGAAGTAGACTGGCTAAAATGGATCTGCTCTTTCAGGCAAATCTATCAAAAGGGGTTTCTGTGAAATATCTTTTACAAATATCTGTACAGTTAAAATATGCAACTGAATTTAATTTAGTGATTTAACATTGAAAAAAACCTGCCACTAAAAAACATTAAAAATAGCCGGGCTTGGTGGCTCAGCCTGTAATCCCGCCCCTTGGGAGGCTGAGGTGAGTGGATTGCCTGAGCCCGCGGGTTCAAGACCCGCCTGGGCAACTTGGTGAGACCTTATCTCTACAATAAATAAAAAAAAAAAAATTAGCCGGGCATGATAGCGCGCGCCTGTAGCTACAGCTACTTGGAAGGCTGAGGTGGAAGGATCACCGGAGCCCAGAAGGTCGAGGCTGTGGTGG